AATGGATTTCAAAACAAGACTGATTAAGAGAGACAAAAAAGGTCACCACATTCTTATAAAGGGAACAATCCAAGAGGAAGAGATAAGAATCATAAACATATATGCACCAAATAGCAGCACACCCTACTATATAAATCAAATATTAACAGACATGAAAAATCAAATAAGCACTAATACAGTTGTAATGGGAGACCTCAATACCCCACTATGACAAATGGATCAACTAAACAAAAAATCAACAATGAAATATTAGAACTGAACCAAACTTTTGAACAAAGGGACTTAGTAGATGCCTACAGAATGTTTCACCCCACAACATCAGAATACACATTCCTCTCAGCTGTACATGGGATGTTCTCCAAAATAGACCACATACTAGCTCATAGAACATGCTTAAGTAAATGCAAAGGAATTGAAATTAACCCATGCATATTACCAGACCATAGTGAAATAAAATTGGAAATCAATGGTAAAAGAAATCACAAGAACTTCATAAACACATAGAAATTAAATAACACCCTCCTGAACAACCAGTGGGTTGTTAAACAAGACAGTTTCTACAATTAAACAATAGTGCCACTACAACATACCAGAACTTATGGGATGCAATGAAAGCAGTCCCACAAGGGAAATTTATAGTGGTGAATACCCATATCAGGAAAACAGAGCAGTCTCAAATAACCTGATGTTGAACCTCAAGCTTCTAGAAAAAGAAGAGCAAGTCAAGCCTAAAGCTCATACAAGAGAGGAAATTATAAAAATCAGAGCAGAAATTAATGCAATAGAGACTAAAAAATATTCAAAGAATCAATGAATTGAAGAGTTGGCTCTTTGAAAGATTAAATTAAATTGACAAACCCTTAGCCAACCTTATCAAAAAAAGGAAAGAAAAAGGGGCCAGGGATTTAGCTCAGTGGTGTCACACCTGCCTTCAAGCACAAGGTCCTGAGTTCAATCCCCAGTACTGGAAAAAAAAAAAAATCCATGGAATTAGGAATGAAAAAGGTGAAATCACAACAGACACTGCAGAAATTCAGATCATCAATACCTACTTTGAGAACCTATATTCCAGTAAGATGCAAAATACAGAAGAAATGGACAGATTCCTAGATACATATGAATTACCCAAACTGAATCAAGAAGATATAAAAATTCTAAATAAACCAATATTGGCCAATGAAATTGAAGATGTAATTAAAAACCTACCAACAACGAAAAGCCCAGGCCCTGATGGATTCACTGCTGAATTCTACAAGAAATGTAGAGAAGATCTAATGCTGCTATTTCTCAAACTCTTTAATGAAATTGAAAGGGAGACAATACTCCCAAATTTATTTCTGGAAACAAGCATTATCCTGATACCAAAACCAGAGAAGGATCCAACCAAAAAAAAAAAGTATAGGCCAACCTCCCTAATGAATATAGACACAAAAATCCTCAATAAGATACTGGCAAACAGAATGCAGCAAATCCTCAGGAAGGTTATACACCATGACCAAGTAAGATTCATCCCAAGGATGCAGAGATAGTTCAACATATGCAAATCAATAAATGTAATACACTATATTAACAGAGCCAAGGACAAAAACCATATGATCCTCTCAATAGATGCAGAAAAAGCATTTGACAAGGTCCAACACCCATTCATGATAAAATGTGGTCCCTTGGATGGGACCCTGGGACAAGACACGGGTGTTGCCGATGACCACCAGGTTGGGAGAACAGAGGTATTTTCACAGGACAGACCCCATCCTGAGTGGAATGCCACATGCCTCTGACCTTCAGGAGGGGCCCCCTTACTCCCACCCAGTTTCTGGCATTGCACAGGCTGAGGGCCTTGGCCTTCCTTCATGATCCTCCTGCCAGATCACAGATGGGGAAAGGTCCACAGCATGGCCGTGGCCCAAGGCTGTACTCCCTCTGCAGTCTAGTCCTACAGGAAAAGACCAGGTTATGGGACATCTGGTACTAAGCACCCTCTCTGGGATTTTAGGGGTCTGCCCAAACCCACAAAGTGGCCTTCAGGAGCCAGTTATCAGGAGCCCTGGGTGTCACTATGGGCACAGAGAGACTCTGATGACAACACACATGCTCCCAATGCAGATGTGAAGATGAAATATGGGCACATGGTGCCATGAGTGCAGGAGGTATGCAGAGGACACTGCAGGCTTGGGTAGTTGCTATGCAGGGGGACCCCTCCCCACTGCCACAGCCTGCCAAGTCCTCACCAGGCTTCCTCATATTCGTGTGCAGCTCCCAGCTTCTCACACAAAATCTGCCCAGAGCAGGAGCAGCTAGCCCAGCTGACTTGCTTCCTTGGCCTAGCCCAGTAGGCACAGGGGATACCCAGACTGTCCGTGTCAGCTCTGCCCAGGTTGATTGGCTCAGGCAGCAGGGCCTGGTGCTATGGACAGACACACCCTTTTGCTCAATGAAGCCAATGAAAGGGGTAGTGGTCCCCTTGCCCAAAGATGTTCATTACCAATTCTTGCCACCCTCCCATCAGTCACTGTCACATAGTCAGGTGTGTGGGGCTGGCAGGGCATACAATCCCCCTGACCCATGGGTATAGGCTGAAGTGGGCTTCTCCAGGAGCAATACTTCCCAGTTTACAAAGAAAACACTTTTTTTTGGATTATAACATTAACCACCCTGGTAACACATTACCACGGGGAAGCAAGTTAGCCCAGCCAGCCAAGAACAAGTGAATTCACAGAACACAAAGAGCCACAGGTGTTGCAGGAGCAGCTGAGCAAGGCAGGCCCACAAGTGAGTCTGAGGAACAGCTGGAAACAGTCCCAACCTCTGCATTTGACCAGAAGAAGACCTGACCTAGTGTCCCAGCCATGCTGAGGACCCCTGACCACACTCCCCACACAAACAGGCCCCACCCTTACAAGGCCCGCCAGGCTGTAGAGTCCTAGGGCCTAATAATACACACAAATCAGAAGGCAGCCTGCAGGCCCTGGCCATGCAAGGAGAGAGAGCTGGTGCCTGCCCTGGCCTGTCCCCACTAGCCTTGCCCTAAAGCAGCAGGCTGCCTGGCCAGCAGCACCTATATTGAGAGGATGAGCGTGCTGGGCGGAATGGCAGGCATGTGCCCAGCTGTCCCACTGAGGCCTGCCCAAATGCCCAGCAGAGAAGGCTCTGCCCACAACACCATCTTGCCCTGCTCTGCAGACCACAGAGGAGCTACCCAAGACCCACCCCTGTGCTCTAGTCTGGTTAGGACCAGGCAAGTGGCTGTGCATAGGGAGTGATAAACAGCAGGAGCTAGAACCTAAGGAGGTCACCTGGAGGAGACGGAGTTAACCTGTCCCCATCTGACTCCTACCCCCAGCACACACCCCAGGTCAGTCTAACTTGGGAGAAGCAGAGTCCCTGATACAGCAGTAGTGGTGACTGTGATCTGCCCTCACCCTTGCTTCTCGACTCTGTTAAGTGGGACCCTCTGTTTTCCTCCTGGCAGGCAGCTCTCAGAGGAACCCCTGCCCCCCTGCCCCTGGTCCTACCTCATGGTGGCAGAGATGTCTCACCTGCTGGCCCCACTGTAAGGCACTACTTGGCCCTCTTTATAAGGGAAGTATGGGCTCAAGATAACAAGACCCATCAGGCCGGGGATTTAGCTCAGTGGTTTTGCAGCCTGCTGCGCAAGCACAAGGACCCGAGTTCGATCCCCAGTACCAAAAAAAAAAAAGATAACAAGACCCAGGTAAGAGATTGGAGTCTGACAAAAGGTATCCCACAGGTCAAGGGAGGACACCCTGCTGCCAGGGCAGGTACACAGCAAAGCCAGGGCATCTGAACCTTGAGGACAAGGGGCAAGAAGCCCTGGTCCAGGCACCCAAGGCACCAAAGACATTTCCAGAAGAGCTGGGCTTCTGCCATGGTGCCCAGAGCAGGCACAGTGGGTGGAGAAGGTGTGGAGAGCATAGGTTGTATGCTGAGCTGCCTGGTCCCTGGGCCTTCTGTGGGGTCTGGAGCCTCTGTCTCTCCCAGAGCATAAGACACGCCTAGAGATACCCACCCAAGCTGCTCTTGGCTGTAAAGTGTATTTAAAGCTGTGCTTACTTGCTCAAGGATGGGAGCAGAAAGGACACTTGTCAGTGTCCCTCTGCCTCCTTTAGGGTCAAGCTAAGTGTAAGGAGGGACAGTTCCAGGAGTCTCCAGAATGGGAGGCCTGTGCTGGGGTGGGCAGGGTAGTCACAGGCTTGGCCCTTGAGCCCTAGGAGTAGCTGGGTCCCAGGCTCTGGGACATCAGTTCTGAACATGGAGGCCCTGACTCTTCTCCATCAGACCACAAGCTGGAAGAACGCAGCAGGAGGATGCCATCCTGGGAACACAGGGCACACCTTGGCTCTGGCTGTCATCCTTCCAAAAGTCATGACCAGAAGGGACCTGCATCCCCCTAGTTCACCCAGATGCCTCCCGAACAAGACGAGACCCTCACCTGCCTCTTCTCAGTACCTATAAGGCACAAGGACCCATATAAGCCACACCCACATTACAATGCCGTGTGAACAAGTAAGCACCAGGACATAAAGGTGGTCAGATCTGGGTGTGCGTGGCCATAGAGTCTGGTGGAAGGACAGAATGTCATCTTGGAGACTCCCAAAGACTTCTGGATGAGGAGACTACCCCCCAAAGGGGCTCCAGGTTCTGAACAAAGGACAAGGCAGAGCACCTCTTGTCCTTGGCCCCTGTCAGTGACCTTGGAAAGTCTTCTGCGCTCATCACAGCCAAGAAAAGCCAATGCTTGCTCCCTGTGAGGCTGTGGGGCAATGTTTGACCAGGCACACCAAGGAGTGGGCTGTCCCCACCAGGGCCTTTTCACAGCTCACACCAACCCTGAGTTCCCTTGGCTGGTATATTTTTCCAGTGCATAAAGCTGAGCATGAAACTCTCTTTACACATAGGGAAATTGAAAAGACCGAACAATTTGCACAAAGTAATGCCGCTTGCAAAATGGCAACCCCAGGAACCGGAGCTGTGGTGCATACCTGTGATTCTAGCTCCTAGGAGGCTGAAGCAGGAGGATGGTGAGTTCAAAGCCAGCTACATAGTAAGACCCTGTTTCCAAAAAATAAAAGTAAACAAAGAAGCCCTAGAGCATCTGACTGTGGATGCCAGTCCCTGTGCTTGCTTCTGGGTGTCCACCACACACCCTGCAGTACATTTAGGAGCCTGGTCACGTGGGAGCCCCATCTAAGTGGCCTTGAGCACAGCTGCTCTCCTGCAGCTGCCATGGTGTCTGAGGTGGTGGCCATGGCTGCTGGTGGCCGAGGCCAGGGTCTGCTGGACTCTCCGTGCCCCTCCCCTGCTGGCCCCTTGTCCCTGCACAGCAGTGTTCATAGCACCTAGTGATTAAAGGCAAAGAGCTCCCAGTGAGAAAGGGTCGCTTTGTAATTCCTATTTAGGCCTCTAAATCATTCCCTCAGTCCTCATCCTCCGCCATCAGATTTGCCCTGCCAGCTGGAAGGCTTATTGAACAGTCAGATATGAGCAGGCGCTGATATAAAAATAGAGGCAGGACGTGGGAGCTGGCACTGTGGGTGACTCACCGCACAGCGGGCCGGCACAGGGCTGTGCAGACAGCTGCAGCATCTCCTCCCCTGCTTCCCTCCCCTTTCTCTACTGCTCCCTGGGCCTTCACCCCCACAGCCCCTCCCTGCGCCTCTTTCTGCCCTGGCCCCTCCCCAGCAGAGCACAGGACCCAGAGCAGATGCTGGGGTAAGCAGGGCTGTCTGAGGCGGTTTCTCCAGGCATTTACCTTCAACATTCTCCCCACCCCCCATGAGTGCACAAGATAGGAGGAAACCAAAATAGCACAAACTCTCATTTTCCTTCAGGCTTTTGGAGTTTTCTATAGAACATTCCAGTTCAAATGACCTCCCTGCCAGCCCCAAAACTCCAATAGACTGAGAGGAAGTAAAAGAGGTGATACTCAGGCTGCACCCCGATTCGAAGCCCAGGCTGCACCCCCATCCCAAGGCTCAGGTTATACCCCATCCCAAGGCCTCCTCTCCCCAGCAGCATGGAATTTGGAAGTATGCATTGCTTTTGTGGCTGTTTGATGTGTACCCACCTGCACACTGGGCTGTAGGCTCCCTGGTGCTGAGCTCCTAATTCTTTTTACTCATCACTATCTCCTGCACACCAGAGGGGCTTAGTCAATGTTTGTTAAATAAGTTGGGGTGATAGGGTCCTTGATCTGGCTGGAGAATGAGCTAAACAATAGCCATGGCTGGATTTCAGATGTCCTGATTTCCCAGGCTGGGAAGAGCCATCCTCCCAGGGGCTCTAAGAACCAGGACACCAGGTAGAGGGAAAAGGAAGAAAGAGAATTCCCTGGCTGGGCGCCACAGTGCTGTGTTCTCCAGGAGCTTTGAGAAAATCTGTTTGCCACCCCCTTCCTCCCACTTGCCCCTTCGAAAAGGCACGGCAGGGACTGGGTACAGAGGGGGAAGGGCACCCTTGGCAGTTGAGGTATATCGTGGCTAGGAGTCTCTTGGGCCTGACCCCTGCCCTGTCCTGGATCAGTGCCTGCCTGGCCCTTAGGAGTGAGAGATTTCAAGTGATTTCTAAGGAGCTGGTCCCAGCTTTCTGATCCCTGGCCTGCAGAGATAAGGGGTGGGAGAGAAGGCTCCCCACCTCATGGAGAAGGACCCTGGAGACCCCCGTACAGATGCACTGGGCCTCGATGGCCTGTGGTCCTGTTTTCCCCTGGCCCTGCACTGGGCACTACTGGCTGAGACAAACCTAGGGAATAAATAGTTCATGTTCCAGTCACAGAGATGAGGCACCCAGCACCTTTTTTTGTTCCATTTTGTTTTTTGTTTTTTGGGGTGTTTTGTTGTTGTTGTTGTTTTGTTTTGTTCTGGTACCTGGGATTGAACTCAGGACTTTGCACTTACAAGGCAGGCACAGTGCCACTGAGCTAACCCCCAGGCCTTGTTTTGCTTTTTTGAGACAAGCCCTTGCTATGTAGCTCAGGCTGGCCTTGAACTCACTATGTAGCCCAGGTTGGCCTCAAACTTAAACTTGTGGTGTTCCTCTAGCCTTGGCCTCCTGAGTGCTGGGATAACAGATGTGCACTACCATTCCTGGTGTACTTTAAGGATTTACCGGAGAAGTCTGAATTTGCCACCTTGTCGGCTTTTCAGCACTTATAGTCCTAGAGATGTTCAGTGAACAAGTGTTGATGGGAAGGAGCTGGGCTGCTGAGCAACCTGCTTGGAAGGGGACAGCAGAACATGGGCAGGAGCAGAACTGGGGCCCCAAACCCTGCCTCTGCTCAGAGTCTTACCCTGCTGAATAGCCTCTCCCCACTTCATGCCCTCCTGAGGAGTGTGGGGCAGACTGCACTGGCCTGGAGGTCAGAACTCAGCTCTTGACCCAGGACCTCTTCCCACAATGGTTAGCCAGTCCACAGGACTCCCAGTGAAGGGAGGGCAGGCTCCACTCCTGTGGCAGGTCCTGAGCTCCTGAGCTCAAGGCCAACTCTGGTCACCAGCGGGGCTGTAAATGGATCTGCCCAAACCCATCTCACCACTGGAAATAGAACTCAGGGCTGCTGGGTAGGAGGGTACTTTTCTGTTTATTCATATTTCACTTTAATATTTTTTTGGTACCGGGGATCGAAGTCAGGACCTTGCGCTTGCAAGGCAGGTGGCAGTCACTTTAATATTTTTAATATTATTATCCTACACATTTATTGGAAAGTCAAGTTGGAAGAAAGATGGATATATTAAAAAGGTAGGAAAAAAAATCACCCCCTCATTCTACCCATGAGCTGTCATTATGATTTATCACTTTGTCCTATTTCATTTGTCCCTTTTGCCCTTTTTTTTCTCATGGCTCAGCTGGTCCCTGTGGACACAGGGGACATTTGTTAGCTGCAAGCTGCAAGGGCTCCTAGCCCCTCAGCCTCCCAGCTGGTGCCTGTCATCTGAGGACTTGTCAGACTCAGTGCATGCATAGGCCCAGGGAAAATTTGGGGCAAAATTCCTTAGGCTGGCATGTGAGAGCTGAGCAGTTTTTCAGAAGTGGGAAAAGACAAGTCTGAGAGATAGGGATATTGAGCGCTCTTTTTAGGAAATGAGATCATGTTCCTTCTTTTTTTTCCTCTCAGTTCCAGGGATCATTTTCCTTGTCATTATTCCCTAAACAATACCGAGGAGCAAGTGTATTGATTCTCCAAGATTCAGTGGAGAATCTGCCCTGTTTTCCCTCAAAGTCCCCCAATGAGCACACAAAGCATTTTTGGGTTCATATTACTACAAACACAGAACTCCTGGGAATAGTTAACTTTTCTTTTCACCTGGCAGAAATATTTGTATATTCCTGGTTTGGTTTGGGGTTTTTGGGGGGTGGGGGGTACCAGGGATTGAACTAAGGACCTTGTGCTTGCAAGGCAGGCGAGGTGCCACTGAGCTAAACCCCCTGCCCAGGTTTTGTTTTGTTTTTAAGAACTCATTCCTTTCCACATATTATCCCCCAAAAAATCTTTCAGGCCTAATTAAGGTAATGCAATTACCAAATACCTATAAATTTAACCTACTATGAAAGCTCAAGAGCTATAGAACACTAATAAAACAAGATGTCAAACACTGTTAGAGATACTTGTTTCTTTTCAGAGACATGTCAGAAAAGAAAAGGCAATTCTTAAATTTGTCAGATTTCCAGTGAAATAACATGATTCCTAATTTCTATACTTTTTTTCAGCACAAGAGTAACATCAAAGGCAGGGTTTAGCTATCAACTAGTGCAAAGGCAACTCCACCAGAGTGAGTTGAAGCTTCTTTCAGTCCTGAAACATTGTGAGTCATTTACTGAGTCTGATGGCAGGAGAAACGGGCCACCAAACCCCTTCCACGTATCTTCCTTAAGTCTCAATGAAGTGACATGTGGTTCTAGTTCAAAAGTATTTAACATGACAGCCGAGTGTGGTGGTGCACAGCTGTAATCCCAGCACTCAGAGGCTGAGGCAAGAGGATCACCATGAGTTCCAGGCCAACCTGGGCTACATAGTGAGTTCAAGGCCAGCCTGCACTACTCAGTGAGACCTTGTCTCAAAAAAACAAAAGTATTTAACACGACAGTTTGGTAACTCATGCAATATTGACACTTTTCCAGGCTGCTGGCCACATGAATTACTCAGACGGTGTGTGTGTGTGTGTGTGTGTGTGTGAGAGAGAGAGAGAGAGAGAGAGAGAGAGAGAGATTTGCTTACATATGCCTCTGTAATTCAATATTATCAATGTGTTCATAATCAGCATATCAGATATTCCTATATGTGTTTAGTATTACCATTAAAAGCTGGGTTCCTCTGAAAGACTAGAATTCAGTTCATTTTTAACCTTTATTCACAATGAGCAAAAATACATGATTTTCAGTAAACATGGTGCCACATATGGTGCCATATACTTCTTTTACTTAAATCTTAAACTTTACTAAATGCCCATTCTGAATGTCTGGATTTGGAAGTACTACTGCCTACCTTCAAAATTTTATCAAGCTATCAAAAAGCCAGAGAGGAAGTAATAAACACAAAGTCATGTGGCTCGTATCTGTGCTTTCTATTCCACCTATAATCTACTTCCCAAAGAGTGTTACCTTCTTTGAGTCTGAATCTGTTTAATTCTGCTCTTGGGAATATTGACTAGGAACATAAGGACATTTTAAGAGATAGATATTGTGCTTGCCCATAGAAATTCACACTATGTGAATGTATTTTGTGCCTTTAAAATTTGCTTGGAGGGGTGTGTTCCTCCACCCCTCACTTACATCCCCCTCTCTGGGTGGATGTTAAAGTAGGGTGAGGGATGGGCCAAGTACATGGTAAATGGTGACGATCCAATAAAGGAACACGGACCACGGACCTCCTGGAAGGAGCCTGAGTCAAATTTATTGAGCTGGGTTTTTATGGATGGATGAAGCCAGACTAGCTGTCATAGCAACGGCTAATGCTCTGTACTTCCCGCGCTCTGCGCCCTAGGGGGTAGGGTGGGTGCTCCGAGTCCTTGGCAAAGTAGGCGGGGTAGCAACAGGATGTGGGAACGACTGTGGTTGATCTCAGAACTCGGAACTCCCGGCTAGAGGACAAAGGGGGATCAGACCTGTCAGGCACGTTGAAGGTCTC